TTCCTGTTAATTTTTTATTTTGTGTCCGCAGTAAAATTGATTTTCAGCTTAACTAAGGTCTTTCTAATTTTAAATTGAGTATCTAAGCGTTAATAAATAAACTCAGTTAAGCTTAATGTTTAGGAAACTAATTATCTTATTGAAATTAAACTTCACTAATCTATGATTGAATATAAAAGTTTCATATTCTTCGATATCATTATTGATTCGTCTAACCATCCAAATTTTACAAGTTAATTATTAAATTGGAACTGATACTTTCATTTTAGAATGCCAATAAAATTTTAATCAGTTAGTCTAATTAAATGACGTTGTTTTAATTAAAATAAAAAAAAAACATAAATTCTAAAGCAAAAGTAATAAAAATGATTTTTGCTTGATTAAAAAAAAACACAATTAAGTGTCTTATATAAAGAAAGATCCATTTGTCGTTCGTTCGTTCTTTATTCTGTCTTCTCTTCTTTTCTCTTTACTCTGTTCTTGTTATTTTATAGTGTGTTGCACAGTTTAATAGCTGCGTTTTATAATTTAAAAAATGGATTCAGCGTATTATTTATGCAATAATTTGATAAAAGGAAGCCAAATCTTTAAATAACTATTCCTATAAATAATCGAATTTTATTACAAATATGTTCAATTTAATGTATAATTGATAAAAATGAGTTCATTGCTTGCTTATAAAACAACAATTAAATTATTTATCAGAGTATTTTCTGAGATTAATCCCCAAATTTCTCTGCAATAATGAAAATAAGCTTTTGTTTAGTAACTTTTAAAATTAATAAATACAGTAATTATAAATATAAATTTATAGTAAATCTAGTAAATTATATGTATGATTTTACATAAAATTTAAATTGTAATTAATTGATATGATTTTTTAATTTGCAATTAAAGCTGTAATATCTATATATTGTCCTAAATAGGCCTCTTTTCTTTTTACAATTAGGCAGGCCTATATTTATAATTTGCAATATTTTATAAGCTCACGAATATAAAATAATCATCATTCACGACTTAGTATTAGTAATTTCACTTCCTTCTTCCATCGCATCCAATTCAATCGATTTTTTGTGATCTAACTTAATATTCTATTAATAGCAGTATTATTTAGGTATAATAATTCATAGATATTACATTTGTTTAATATCTTCATAATAAATTGTTATAATAAACCACAAGAAAACGCATAAATTTCGTCCATTACTTAAAGTGTAGAATGCAATTTTCTCCCAAATTCTTTTAATAGCGTCATTGAAATTTCGAAGACATTTTATGATTATTCATTTTTTGAGGGGGAGCTACAGTTAAAATTCAGATCTATACATTCCCAATGTCGTCCGTCCGTTTGTCCGTTCGTCTGTCCTTCGTTAATCTCGAGAACGGAGTTAGACAGATGAAAATCGAGACCCGATATGAAAAGCCAATTATAAGAACTTCCGGTCTGAATCGGAAGTCACGTGATTTTTTTGAATTAAACTTCGATTTAACGATCGTTTCTTTTACGTTTTTTCAACTCTTTTCTATTCTTTTAAACCTGTATATCATTTTTTTTATTATTTATCTATTTTTCATGAGCTTTCCTATTGAATATAATATTCCTTTCCTCCTCCTTCCTTTCAACATTTTATAAATTTCATGTTCAAATATTTTGCATCAATCGTTTTCATTTTTATTCCCTATCTTTCTCTTTGATTTTTTTTTTTTCCTTTCGCAAATCCGTATCTAGCTTATTTTATTTAGTAATTTTCGTTTAAATATTAGGCCTATTTATATTTATGATATATCCTTTGCAAATTTTGAAGTCCATTTTGAAATTTTATCTAAATCGCATTTGAAATTAAAAATAAATAAATAAAAAATCTCTTATATTACCTTTTATTTTCATTATAGTTTAGAAATTATAATTGATAAATCAATTCTCATTCTAAATTCATTACATCTAATAAAAGAAATATTGGACTTACATTTTTTTTTATATAGTTTATATTTTCTGTAATTTATTTTATTTTTACACTAATAAATATTTTTTTTCCGAAATAAAATAAAAAATTAATAGATTTTTTTTTAAAAAAAAGATTATTAAGGGAAATAATATAGAATTATCCTTTTTTAAATTTTGTTATGGAGATAAAATATCGAATAATCTAATAAAGTAACTTCAAATTTTTCAATGTTAGAGTTTGTATGATTGATTAATTCGCTTTAAGAAAGAAAATTACAGTTAACTGATTATATTTTAGTACGCATTTTTGCCTTCATATAAAGGAAAAACACAAGGTTTGGTTTGATATGATACGGCAACATAACATATGAACGATCTGCCAATGGGAATGCCTCTTAGGAAAATTTTCTATTAAGGCCCCTGTTTAGTTGTTTTATATGTGAAGAAAACCCAGTAAACTTTACGTTGCCAGACCTCCGGTGAGGCTCGAACCCACGACCAAGTGTGTGTTCTATTGGTTTTATTCACCGGGCTACTAGAACGTAAGAAGTTTTCCTGTTAATTTTTTATTTTGTGTCCGCAGTAAAATTGATTTTCAGCTTAACTAAGGTCTTTCTAATTTTAAATTGAGTATCTAAGCGTTAATAAATAAACTCAGTTAAGCTTAATGTTTAGGAAACTAATTATCTTATTGAAATTAAACTTCACTAATCTATGATTGAATATAAAAGTTTCATATTCTTCGATATCATTATTGATTCGTCTAACCATCCAAATTTTACAAGTTAATTATTAAATTGGAACTGATACTTTCATTTTAGAATGCCAATAAAATTTTAATCAGTTAGTCTAATTAAATGACGTTGTTTTAATTAAAATAAAAAAAAAACATAAATTCTAAAGCAAAAGTAATAAAAATGATTTTTGCTTGATTAAAAAAAAACACAATTAAGTGTCTTATGTAACTTAATAATTAAAATTAAGATAATTTAAATTAAATTTATTTTAATTTAATCAAACTTTGTTTATTTTTATTTTATTTAAAAATAAAGAGTTAAAATAATATTCCATCTCGTTACGAAATAAAAATTACCCTTTTTTTCTGGTAAATAAATACGATTTTTTTAAAAATAATAATCATCAACACGACATCACAAAATATAATTTAAATCGAGGAGAGTTTATTCTTTTTTTTTTTTTTTTAAAAAAGCAAATGAGTTATAGTAAATAATAAAACAAAGTTTATTTACTATAATGGATTCCATTAAGGTCTATCTAATGTCTATCTAATATCTAATGGATAAGAAAATAGTGGGCCTTTCATCGTTTTTCTTTACCTCTTATAAAGTTAAAAGCGTTTATAAAATAAAAGAAGAAGAGTAAGAATATTCCTGAAAGCGTTTATAATAGAAATATTGCTGATGGATTGCACTCACACAGATTAATAATCCATCATCCAGAGACATTCGATCTTTCATTTGGTCATCCATGTTTCACTAAAGCAGCTTTCATTCATGTGGTAACTTCCTATCTGTTTGTTCTTAGATAATACACTTGCAACATGCATTATTACCCTTCCATGTTTATGTAAATAATATAAATTTCGTATTAAAAATTGATAATAGAATCGTATTATTCTCTATACTTTAACAAGAGAGAGAGAGAAATCTGGTTGTTTGTAACAAGTCAAAATCGTTCAATCGAACGAAATCGATTTAACATCATGACCGAGTTTTCTGCTCGAGATAATCAAAAATTTGTTTTGTTTTATTTTTATTTTATCTCGTGATTGATCTTTCCATGCTATTTTTATTCAATTGTAACTTTATTACTAGTTCTATATATAATTTTTGTTGGTTGGCTGGTTTATAAAACAGGGATAAACATTGACGGCGTATAAAAACAAATAAGTCAATTGTATAATAATAAAATTATAAATAAAATGTATTATTATTATTATTTTACAGTTAACAATGAAATTTAAACAGTTATTAAAGTGATTTATAGTAGATTAACAATAGTTCAAAATGGCTTACGTACTGTACTCGGTAAATATAAATCTAATTAAATACTTACAATTATTTTATTATATTAAATCTTTAATTTAGTTTTTTTTAATTTTTAAATATTAAATCTTTTTATATTCATAATATAGAAAAACAGTTTATTACACCATAGATATTTAACAATAAACAAACATAGATTATAGGTATTTTCCGGGATCATATTAACTTTGTTTGAAATCCATAAACAAATTGAAATATAATCCTTCACTAAAAATGGTTTATTTCAAAGTATTATTAATCATACCTTTAAGTGTTAATCTTATCCTTTGACACAACTTAGATCGCTCCTCGCTCTCTCTCTCTCTCTCTCTCTCTTTCTCTCCCTCTCTTTTCTTAAAGTAAAAATCGCAAGACAAATACGATTTTTGTTATATAAAATGAAAAGAAAAACAATTTCTAGAGGTCCTCAATATTCTACAACAATCACAAAATTAATTTCTATTTATTTTTCCTTAGTAAAATCAAATACGCTTAATGTACTATATGCTTAAAGTATATCTACTTTAATCTGAATTTATAAAATTTTTAAGATAATATAAATTAATTTTAATTTATAATTTAATAGATTTATATATATTTAGACATCTAGCAATTTAAATATAGTCTCGAGAGTTACTTAATTTAAAATATTTTATATAAAACTTGTTTATTTTTTTATTAAATTTTAAGAAATTTTATTAAGTAACACTTAAAGAAAATTAAATAGTCGAGACGATTTTCCCATTTAAAATTAATTCGATTTTATATTATAGGACCCTTTTTATGATTAATTGAAGAACGAAAAACATTTAAAGTTAATTCTGTTTAATGTTTTTTTTACTGTAAAGATGGAAAATTTTCCGTGTTTGTTATGAATTAAATTTCCTGTTATTGTTATACGAAGAAAAATTTTTAAAATTTCTTTATTTTTTTTTAATAAAAAAAATAATAATATTATTATTATGCTAAGTATGGAAATTTAAACGCAGCATGGTAATAAATATTACAGTAAAATGGAGATAGCACAGTTAGGGCGTGGCTAAAAGCGTTCGACCAATAGGAAAACGCCAATACCGTATAACTGGGCGGAGTGAAGCGATGTTTAGCGACGGTCTTGCTATGACAGAATATGCTGTAGTACGATGGCCCACCAGACAGGAAGTAACATTGTAAAAGGTTCAGGCGAACCTGCTAATTATTCTATCCCTACAGAAACGGGAAGCATACAGAAAATGACAGATTTACTATCAGGAAAGAATTTAACTTTCTCTCCGGAACAGGTGGCCTGCGTATGTGAAGCACTTCAACAAGCCGGTAATATAGATAGGTTGGCAAGATTTTTGTGGTCTTTACCACCCAGCGAACATTTAAGGGGTAACCAGTCTGTATTAAGAGCTCAAGCGGCTGTGGCTTTCCATCGTGGGAATTATAAAGAACTGTATGCCATATTGGAGAGTCACAATTTCGAGCCACAGTATCATACAGAATTACAGCAAATGTGGTACAAGGCACATTATAGGGAAGCCGAAAAAATCCGCGGTCGACCACTGGGTGCTGTCGATAAATATAGGCTGAGGCGTAAGTATCCTTTGCCTAAGACTATATGGGATGGAGAAGAGACTGTGTACTGTTTCAAGGAAAAATCTAGAATTGCTCTTAAAGAATGCTACAAACAGAATCGTTATCCGACACCCGATGAAAAACGTAATTTGGCATCAAAAACTGGATTGACTCTAACACAAGTCAGCAACTGGTTTAAAAACAGAAGACAGAGGGATAGAACTCCCCACCATAGAAGGTACGATATTTCATTAATACTTATCAGAAATATCCCTACAACTTTATAGACTATATCCTTAATTCAATTTTAAGGTATTTAATTAAGTTTACAGATGCATTAATGTCGTTAAATTGAACAGAATGTGTAAAGTATACAACACAGGAGTTAGCTTTTAGAATTCTTTCATCAAGGCTGAAGAAAATAGGTAAACGGCCTAAAATTAATCAATTAAATTAGGATTTTAACTGTTTTTTGCATAAAACAGGCTTGTGTTGTATATAAATCCGAGCAGAACAACAACACCATGAATTAGATGAGGGTGAGGAAATCTAGAAAGCTAAGCCTAAAAAAATTCTCACATTTTAGCATTTAATCTTAAACTAGAAACTAAAATATTAAATTTATTTTATATTTATGTAATTAATAAAATATATAAAATGATAAGAATAGTTTATATATAGATATTAATAAAGAAATATTAAAATTGAATAGGCAAATCTATAACATTTAACGCTCTAAATTTTTAAAATTTATCAGTAATTTTGTGATTTAAAACTTATAAGAATATATATATATATTTTTTGAAAAATAATTTAAAAAAAATAGGATAATATTGTAAGCATTATCATAAAACCAATCTCCTGTATTATTGTTGTTATTTATTGAGTTAAAATATTATAGATAAAGTATCAAAATTATTAATTTTATTAAATAAATGCCCATCATAACCATTTAAATTATGCCTCATGACACTTAATGCTATCTTGCTAGAAAAACTGCTAGTGATTTGATTTTAAAAATGATTTAATATTAAATAAAATCCATTAAAATAAACAATATTAAATCAAAATTTCATATTATATTAATAAAAAATATGATAGGATCAGAAATTTTGATTAATAGAAGCATTAAATGCTTATGCAATGCAATTTTTATTGTAATTGATGCTTTTACTTGCAGCCTATTACTGGATTTTCTTGCGTATAATTTAATAAATTCAGAAAAATGCTTTAAGAAAAATGCTTCATTATATCATTTCTCAATTAAAAATCAATCTTAAAAATGAATTAAAGTCTCATCTCCTGCCTTTTTAACACTTATTCCTAGGATCAGAAATTTTGATTAATAGAAGCATTAAATGCTTATGCAATGCAATTTTTATTGTAATTGATGCTTTTACTTGCAGCCTATTACTGGATTTTCTTGCGTATAATTTAATAAATTCAGAAAAATGCTTTAAGAAAAATGCTTCATTATATCATTTCTCAATTAAAAATCAATCTTAAAAATGAATTAAAGTCTCATCTCCTGCCTTTTTAACACTTATTCCTAGCAACTAATAGTATATTTTAATGTTGTATACATGTATAGCACATAAAACAATGTAAATACGTAAAGTATTGTATTTATTTCCTAGTCAAAATTGTAAAATTATAGCAATATAAACTGTTTAGCCGCGTGTTGAATTTTTCATTAATTAATATAATATATGTATCTTAAAGTAATATACGTATCAAATTTGTATTCATCTATTATGAAAACAATATATCTTTATATACAATGGTTAAAGTGATTTTATTATGTAAGCAGATAAGATTTGCAATAACAAACATCGCAGATCGGCCTACAAACAGTTACATCACTTTTGCCCATAATTACTGATGATGAGAGGAAGGTCAGTATTATCCACACTAAAAAATCTTACAATTGCAAACCCCTTGTCGCTTCCCACGTGCTAGTCACGAGTATCGGGAGTTTGTCTGTCTAGATCACCGTCACTTCATATTACACACGTGACTGAAGATGTAAAGGTGGTTCCTTCATGTGTAAGAGCACCCAGCTGTAATGAAAGTAGCCTACCGTCTGTCCAAACGAACTCAACATGTGCCGTCTGATACAGATAATTAAAGCCAACTATAATGGCCCATTTAGTTAAAATCCGTCCTAGGAAAGTCTAGTAAATCGTTTCCTACGCTAAATTGTTAATAGGACCGATAACTGCGAGGATGATGATGTACAGAAAGTTGGAAAATTTTTCGAAGGTAGGCTTTGGCAGGAGTCCAAGAGACATTGACGTTTCTGACACAACACAAATGGCCCAGACGGATGTGGTACTCTTATCATTCGACTGAGCATGCGCATAAAACACTTGGTTTATCTCTAACCAAGACTTTCTCCTCGGCTAGTACCACTAGTATTTGTTTGCCGAACTGTAAGTATTGTTGGTGTAAAAAGGAAAAAGTCCTATGAAAATAGATATTAAGTCGCCATTAAGAATGATTTGTTTGCGAAGATATTAATGCCTTAAAAAAATGATACATCACAGACTTAACTGCTCAAGGCCTTTCGTAATTCGTGGTATCGATGCGGAAGTAGTCTATGTAACTGCAAACACATAGTGGATTGATTAGTCGAGTAAAAACGATTGGAAGATGATGTATACGAATTTCACTTGTTTAGTCTTTAATTACTGCTTCTAGGCTACATTTCTTAGCCAGTTTGAAGTACAGTCATGAATTTAATAACGTTAAAACTATGCGAAACAGCTCGATGCTCTTCACAAACGAAGAACAGTTTGAAGTGATTTGCCACACACGAAGCTGAGAACGAATTTTTTATCGTTAAGAAGGAATGAAAAAAAAATTCATATCAATACACCAATATTAAAAGCCTCGTGTTTATAATTCTGTTAAAATCCTCACGTATTCTTTCCTATACTTATCCGAAAGTCGGGAGATAAAGTTTAACTTGGCCACTATATATCTATATACTATTAAATGACATTCTTAGAATTAAAAAAAAAAATATGCCAATAAAATCGTTGTAATTACACGAGTCCACGTGTTTTAGTCAATGGTCGCACGTGGTCGTGTACAGAAAAGCTTTTCCTCTCCTAAAAAGAAAATACCAGGCGTTCCAACTCCGTGAAATGTCCCACCTCCACCAGAGAAGGCAAGATGAATGGGACCATTTCCTTCTGGGGTTCCTACGCGACTTTCTTCAACCACTAAAGTTAATTAGTAACATATGCTCATATATTTTCCCCTTACAGGTTGGAGACTATTGTCAACTGTTACTTGTTTAAAGTGTCTTTCAATTAAGTAACAGTTAAAAGTCGGCGATATAACACTGCCAACGTTCTGCAAACGATGCTGGTGGATGGCAAATTTCGAGGAATTTTAACCTGTAATTAACGTTTTCTTCTTCTGTAAATATCCGGATGTGATTACATCTATTGTGAAAATTTATACAAACAGATAAGAATAATGTAGTTTTAGCAGATTAAAAGTGTTTACAACAACTAAAAGACGTGGTTCAAGTGGTAGAGACGGGAGAGCTTAAAGAATTTACTAATGATATTGCTTCCAAAATAAGTTGAATCTGTTGTAAATGGACACTGTTACTAGTCAGGCGAGAAAGTAAATTAAATTGCCGAAAAAATTGTCTAAATTTTTAAAATATTATTATATTTCTAGTGCGCAAAATAATACTATTATTTGGCGCCATATTTCCTCCTGTAGGCGCATTTTAGAACTAAAAATTTTATTTGCTAGATATGAGTCTAAATTTTTAAAATATTTTAATCTTCCTCCATTCAATTTCATTTCTTTTCTACATATCAAAATGGATATTTCATTGTGTTCCTTCACTTCTGTCACTTTTGTCAAACTTATTTTTACATCTAGTCAAAGTTATAAACAATCAAACTTGCACATATATTCAAATAGTAGAGATATAGAATCATTGTCTGAATTACAGAAATTTATACTTAAAAATAACTTGTTAAAATACAAGTTATTTAAATACAAGTACAATTTTAATAACTTGTTAAAATACAAGTTACAACTTGTATNAGTTCACGTATTTGTAAAATCTAAGTGACTCGTACAACATGGAATTCATATAAAATGGAATAATGAACAGTGTTATAGGGGGGTCGACTGTATTCAGGCCCTAATAAAGAAATTTATAAGAAAATTCATCATAACTTGGAGTCTAAAAGTCGAAAATCAAAGAATATATTAAAATTATAATTATTAATTTGAATAAAAATACGACTAATTACATAGTTTTTAATTAAGAATTCTTCTAATTAATAAATTTTCTAAATTTGTTTACTTAATTATAATTAAATTTACAAATAGGGCCCTCAAGAGGAATTTTTCCCTAGGTCCATACTGATTCCAACCCATATAAAATAAGCGTTATCTTTACTAACAGAAAATAGGACTACTACTTTTTACTAATAAAGGAATATTGTATACATTTCATTTGTTTAAAAAACAAAAGGATAAAGGACCCTTGCTCCGATCCCTGGACCCATACAAGCTCCTGACAGACCTGATTAAAAGATACAATGTTTAAGTGTGTTAGGCTCTGAGGGGCCATGCACTAATGTCAATTATGATCCTATGATACGAAGGACAGTGAGGATGAAAAAGTAAAGAGCTTTTAAATTTTAAATTCAACTTTTAAAAAAGAAGAATTAAGTTATATCACTCAAACCTTTTTAATAAAACCCTAAGCAGTGTTCTTTTCATAACCTTTAACCATTTATAACCATTAATAACCTTTTAAAACTATAAAACAAATTCTTTTTAATAAATTTATTATTGTATTTTTATATAAATTAAGTAATAATATAATTTAAATATTGGGGGGCGTGTTCTTCCGTCGAGGCTACTGGCGCATTTTTCAGAGCACTCGGCTTTCTACACCAAGAATAAGAATTTAATCGTTTTTTAAACGTAACTATCACTAACAAGTTTAAAATTGTTATTATTTATTATAATTTATATTGGCAATAATAAAAATAATTACTATGCAACGTTCACCACTCAAACGAGGAAGACCTCCATTAAATCGTACCCAACCAGGAACAAAGAAGAACCAGTCATCTTCAGCAAATTCTAAAACGATAATGGACTTTAATTTTTGCCCAGAAGAAAATCTTCAGGAAGAATGCATTGAAGAAGTGAATTATACTCGAAAATCATCGCAAACTAGTGCAAATGATACTCCAGGTGAGTCAACTATTTCTGAACAAATTTTGACTAATAAACCGGACATTTCATTAGACACCATTACTTCAGTGCTTTGGGACAAAATTTCGGATTTGATAAATACAACTAATGACAAACTCTTTAATCAAATGGTAATTATTAAACAGGANGGAGAGAGAGAGAGACTTCATCTTAATATTTTTAAAACCTGAATAAATAATAATAATAGTATCAACTTATTATTATTATTCCTTTTGTTTTCTAGACAAATTTCTGCTGCAAAAGAATCATTAATTTCAATTATTATTATTTATTTTTTTTCCATGTCTCTACGGATTTTCTTGCACATATTGCAAGAAAATAATGAATTGATTTTCCTACTTATTTCAAATTGGGCTCGGTTTTATATAATTGGTACTGATAATTGAGTATTTGTTGTATATATTTTATTTTTATAATTAAAATTTACTTTATTCTTTAACTTTATCTTTTAAAAATTTAATTGTAATTAAAAATATTATTTTTAATCTTTTTACTTATTTTATATCTTAATTCTTGCAACAAGTTGTTGTATTGAATTGTCTGAACGATATTCCGGTAACTAAGCTAAAATTTATTTCTTTTTATGCCATTTTTAAAGATAAATATGGAAAAATATTTAATAAAACTTGTAAAAAAATGCATATTTAATCTATATATATATAAAAGCCTAAAATTCTCTTTGATAACTTAGTTTCTTTAGTGAGTTCTATGGTTTACACATATACAATACACAAGTCTAATTTTTAAGCTTATAATTTCTATTTGGAGATTCATAATCTATAAGTTTAATATAGAATATTAATAAGCTATAATTTTTATAGGCCTGTGCTTTATAATGCATAAAGATTCTCAAATATCCGTGTTATATCCAGGATTTTGAGAACATGGGTGCCTCTCAAGGTAGATTATGTGGACCAAGGCATTCATCCCTGTCATTTTTTTTTTAGAATGTTACACAATTACCTCAGAATTACTTTAGTTACCTGATATTACTAACTGTTTGCTTTGGTATCTGGTCAGGGAGGGGGGGTGCTACAACACAATAAGCCATCCCCATGTATACGTTCCTGTCAAGTAGAGATAGGGTTTATAGGTTGAATTTAAATTTATATATTATTAAATAAGCTCTAGGTTTGATTAAAACGAATATTACAAAGTCCGAAATAAACATATGGAAAAATTAATATATTTTTAAAAATTAATATATATTTTAAACAACCGGTCAATGAATTGTGTACTTAGTTAGTAAAACGATAGGCTTGTTTGGATAATTTGACAATAACCCAACGCTATCTATTATAATTGGAATTTGTACTCAAGAATCATACAGATTCTGTACTTCTACTGCTCATTGTCCAGTCAGAGTTAATGTATTTATATTAAAAAGAATAAAAAATTAATTTCGTTCGTCTTATATTTAATTTTATAACTTTTTAAACTTTATAATAGATTTAAATCTCTTATAAAATGATTTATTTTTCTGTACAATTTTTTTTTTTTTTACATAGTTACCTCGATGTAACGTTAATTATTTTTTTTATTAATTAATTAAAAATATTCTTGAACGAATTTAACATTGATTTAAATTATAGTTAAATTTTAAAAATTTTAATTGTATTTCACATATGTAGTGTGGGCGTATTTGTAGAATAATCAGCACAAAGCCGATTTGTATATATATCGAACAGTCGTTAATACGACAAAGATAATTGCTTTTTTTGACGTTTATAGATCATGTTTAACAATAAATTTCTGGTGTGAATTGATTTTATAACGTGTTCACACCAGAATTTATCGTTTGATGGACTGGCAATTGTGAAAAATATACATTTGTTTACCTGGAAACTTTGTTTATATTTTCGCTTCGAATCATAAAAAATTTGAAGGTTATTGTTATTATTACAATTTACTTTATTTTCTAATTAATAAAAATAATATAAAATATACATTTTAAACCTTTATAGATAAAGTTTAAAGCATTAAATTAAAGGAAACGATATAAAAATAGACTACATTTTTAAAAAAGTAAATATTATGTAACATTCGCGTTTGTTTTTAATCTAATTTAAAATAAACAATCGCCGAATTGTTTATAGCGAATTGTTTATAATTATCAGCTCTGTTTATATATATTTATATATATTATTGTAAGCAATATTTTTGTAATAATTCTTAATTTTATTTCAATTGTTTTCCGTGGAGAGAATTCGTTAAAGAACGGGGAGATAATTAGGAATTTCGATCTCGTTACAGCGATCCAATATTGGGTTCGAGACCGAGTCCACCCCAACTTTGCCCGGGAACACCTCAACCACCTCAGAGAACCTCACCCACCATGTGTAGCCATTACAACGACGATTTAACAGCACTAACATACGGCCAGAAGAGTACTTTGGACGAAACGGGGATGCCTGTTATGACAATGGTTAAAGCAGAACCAAATATGTACACGTCTGGATTGTTGTATTCGACTTGTACACCGACGTTCGATCACACGAGTCTTCAACACTTACAAACAGCAGGGAGTCGCACGTAGTAGTGTCGATTCGTGGAAATTCCACCCCCCTCTCACACACGAACATCTAGTCTTTAAGAATACAAGATACTATTCTTCATATGATGGAATATATGTGGTTGGTATTTGATGATATATATATATAATTATATATATATATACATACATACATATATATATATTTTTTGTTTTTGTTTTTTCCACTTTTATCCCTTCGGTATCATCATTTTTGATGGTAGAAATGGCCAGATTTATCCATTTTTAACTGGAAAATTATAAGTATTTCTGTTCTTTCTGAAGACGTCTTCAGGATGTAAATGATTAGGAAAATAAATATTTCATTAAAATTAATTAATTTTGTGAAATATTTAAATACGTTGTACAGTACGAGAAGTCGTCGTAATCGCGAACAAATAATACACGCTAGATAAGTCGAGGAACCGCATGATTTGGGGTAAATCAGTTAAATATTCATCGAAAAATCACACGATTTTGGGTAAATCAGTTAACTATTCTTCTATAAAAATTAATTAATTAATTAAATTCGTATAAAACTCTAAATTAAATTAATTTTCTCTAGAACGATTCGGCGTTTTTTTTTCCAGATAAATATACAAAAAAATATATAATAATAATTTAACGTATAAAATTCTTAAATATTATTTTACATAACTGCATAAATAGGAAAACAATACGAAAATAACGGAAAGAATTGTTTATATATTTAATCTATCAATAAAACTGTATTTAAACTGATATCTCTTACATACAATAAATAAGATTTATCTACAAAATTTATTTATTTCCTCTCTCTCTCTCTCTCTCTCTCTCTCCATCAGATCAAACTTAAACCGCTTTTGATATATTACCCGTTTATTAAATGCCGAGTTTAAACAGATTCTCGAATGTTATTCATAAATTTTCCTTTATGGAAATGGCCTAATGATTCAACCTTTAAATATCAACATCGTTACAGACTATACCTAAGCAAACTACTTGTATTTATTATTATAGAGCAATATTAACTTGTTTAATACGTTAAAGGTTACCGGGTTCATACTACAAAAGTGCAATTTCAGCAAAACAAATAGAAAAACTGTAATACTATCACCGATTTATCGTGGAAACTTTATCGAAAAAATTGATGAAAATGGCGACACAAATACCAACTTTCGAAATTATTTTTCGCTGATTATTTATTAATTTAAATTTAAAAAAAAGTCGTGTTTAAATTCGAAAATACCTTATAAATTTATTAAATTTTTATATTTTTTAAGCATTTTTTTTTAGTAATTACACGAATGTTTTAATTGTAAAACTAAACAAACGAACGTTAGATAAGTGGAATATTTTTCGTTTTTTCTTCAAGAAATAAAAGAAAAAAAAAACCTTATCTAAATGCCGTAAATTTTATTTTTCATACATTTTTACGATTAAAGGACGTTTAAATTTTACAATTTAACGTAGAAAATAGTGATTTTTTTTTTCTTAACACAACAGCTTGACACCCGCATAGAACACACCAAGTTAATACGTCTAAAAAGTTTATTTTGTCCATTAATAATACAATAATACAATAATAATATACATATATTTTTACTGTAGACGATATAAAAAGTTTGTTTTGTATAGCATTTCCACATACCACTTAAAACACTCATCCTTGACTGGGATGTAAACAAACAACACTTATTACATAAACACACAGTAATGGCCGACTGTTTGGTATGTGGTGTCGCCACTTGCACCGTTTAATGTGTTAGTCTTTCTCCATTTATATCATGCAGATAAACAATTGCTAGTATCATATTACAAGTGCATAGAGATTACAGGAAATACCATAGGTAGACAATTTTAATGTCTGACAATATGCTATCTATTATCAAGTTATTTATAAAATTAATGGATATTTTATGAATTATAATTCGAAACGGTTTATAAAATATAATTTTAACGATGTTTTTTATAGTATTTTTCAAGATATAAAATTATATTTTGTGTTTATTATCCCCCTCTTTCCCCTCTTCTTCTAAGTTTCGACTTCTCACGTTAAAAATTCGACTGTAGCATTTTTTAAATGGCTAATATAAAACCGTTTTAATATTTTCTGTTTAATTTAATGTATATTAAACAATAATAATATAATTTAAAAAATTTCATTTAATTATTTTAACGTGTTACACAAATATTTTTTTCTTTTCTTTTCTTTTTTTTTTCCTAGGATCCATTTTAGTATTCACGAAAAACTTAATAATGAAATTTAATAGCCTTGTTTGCTAATTATTATAGACTTTACTAATTGTGTAACTTCTTAAGTTTTTAATTGTTCAAAGCAGTTTGCTTCAAGAATTTTCCTTAATTATAAGAAGAATTTTTTTCTTTATATCCATCTATCGATGCTCGCTTAGCTTACAAGAGTGTACAGTACTTTAGTGTACTGTAAAGTATAAAAACTATATTTATATTAATTATACCGAAAAAAATATAATATTTTGAAGGTTTATAGCTGATCCGGACGAGTTTTTTGATTAAAAAAAAAATAGATCGCATCCCCATGGATCAGAATCTCCACGTGTTCACTTGGAAGAAAAGTATGATCATCCCATCTTCTATAAAGCAAATCCCTAAGGTTACAAGGTTTTTTTTTCCATATTATTTTTACTTTTTTTAGCTCATCTAAAGCTCATTATCGTTTTCTTTAATTAAATATCGTTATCAATTTATTATGCGCACGAAAATTCGTTTGATTTTTCTATCACGTGTCTGACCTTAAAATTCTGTTAAATAAATTAAAATTAAGTAAAAAAAAAACAATCACTGTTGGAGTTAAACACGAATTTCCTATAGATTTTAATACAAAATTAGATATTTTTATGCGATTTTACGGATAAAATTTTCTTTATTCGTTATACTTTCCTTGGGGGATTCGTTTCGTCTTCGTTAAAATCAACCTCCAATCGCGTGTTATGGGACTTTTAAAACCATTCTTAATTATTTTAAAGCGTACACGTAATCGTTTTCCCCTAATTAGATACATTTTTTTAATGGATTTACATAAGTCACAGGCAATCAAAATCGTTTGAATTGCGGAAACAGATTCATTAGTAAAAACATTAAAAAGAAAAATTCGCCATAGGCTTATAACAGTTTTAAGTTATTTATTTCCATTAAAAATAACGGGAATAAAATTTCAAAAAAAAAACGCGCAGAAATCTAAAAAAACGCGCAGAAATCTAAAAAATCTCGTCTTAATACGATAAAATAATAAATAGTAATCGAAGAATATTTTCTTATAACCTACATTTTTAATATTATTAATTTCGTATTTACAACAACCGCCAAATCGTGATAATTCTTTAAATTTTCTCCTTCTTCTTCCTCTTCTTCTTCCTCTTCTTTTCTTTTTAAATGTAAATACAATGGTTTAGAAATTTATATTTGTGTTTAGGTTTTTAAAAAAGAGGAAGAAGAGAGAGAAAATTTAAAGTATTAAGAAGATGGGTTTAGAATTCCTCCTCTTTCTCTTCTTTTTTTTTTTTTTAAATCTAAATAAATATTAATTTCTAAACCCATCTTCTTAAGTCTTTACCAATAATAATTCTTTAAATTTTCTTCCTCCTCTTCTTCCTCATATTTATTTATTTATTTTTTTATTTTTTATCTAAATACAAATATTAATTTCTAAACCCATAATTTAGAAAAAGTCAGCCAAGTTTTCTTTGATCATTTGCTTCATATTGGATAATCTTTCATCTATCATTGGCAAGCAAATTATAATTTTCTTCCCCTATAAACTTGGGTTTCAACTAATTGCCTTTTGTCATGATTAATGAAGTGAGTGAGTTGTCAAAAGTTCTTAATCACTATTCACATCATTACTGTCATGATGTCAGTCGAATCGTTTGTCATTACTCAGCATTGTTTTAACAATCATAATTCAATCGATCAGTAATTTTCTTAAATAACACTTTCTTCTTTTATAATAATAACTGTAAATTTAAGTTTTCAACCTTTTTCTTTAATTTTACAATCTATTTTCTTCGTAAACTTGAGAAGTTTTCAGTGGATAATCATTTTGATGAACTGCAATCTTATTCTTGTTGTTTAGAAGGTGTAAAGATTTTTATTTTTATTTTATTTTTTTATTTTTTCTTATTGTGTGTGTGTGTGTGTGTGTGTTCTAGTATTAAACTATTCTATTGATCCCTTTCTAAAGTATCTTATTAGTTTTATTTATAGAATTTTAGAGATATAAATGAAAGTCAATGGATTTTTTTTCTTAAACTTATACGATTATAGTGACTTTTTGTATTAATTATTTATCGATTCTGATGGTATATTTCTGTAGTTCTATATATATGTGTGTGTGTGTTACTATTGTTTTTATAAGAAATGCTTAAATTTAAACGCTTATTAAAGTTTTAAAATATATTTAATATAAACAAAATTTCTAGATTTACCAGGAAAATTTTAAAATCGTAACTTTACTGCTATATCTGACATACATCTGTTCTACAATGGTATACTTTATATGAATATTAAACAGTTCTAACTTGCATTAAGAGCAGAATTATTTATTATCTATATATACAAAATGGAATGTCTGTCTGTCAGTCTGTTCTCTATACAGTTCTAAACTCTTCAACCAATCTGCACCAAATTTTTCGTACCAGGACCAAGTGGAAAATATAAGCTACCACGAAACCTGAAGACCCCATCTCTTCCCTGACTTTATTTCCTATTAATTCCTAAACCCTTTGGCCAATCCATACGAAATTTTTCATAGTTACTCTCTCTAGGACCCGTGTAAAATATACGCTTACTTTTCCTGTACACCATCTCTTCCCCGATTTCACCCATCGAACAAATTACTTTATCGCAAGTTGGAAGTATAACTTGTTCTAATTTATACAGGTTAAAAATGAATTATAGTTTATTTAAATATGTAAATTGGAACACAAACGGGTACTTTCTGTAAGTATTTTCTTCTATATATATTTTTCATATTAATTAATAAATTATTTGAAAAATATTTAATCACTTTTCCTTAACAGTTTTACGTAGAAGTGGATGGAAATAATGCTTTCCAGTAAAGGTATTTTTAATTATAATTATATAAATTTTATATNTATTAAGTATTTAGAAATCAAAATACAATAAAATTTAAGAGAGAGAGAAAAAAAATCATGATTTATCGAGGTTATACATAGGCCTTACGCGTGATTTTACTCCTTTTTATAACATCTTCCTTCTACCCTTTCCACACATTTTTATACGAAAAAATAAATTGTTGTCGTTTAATTCTTAAGATCTTAATATTTTTACCGGAAAAAGAAAATTAATTTAATATA